AGAAACTCTCCCAAGTACAGAGCAATCCGGCTCTGAGGGAGGGGTGGGGGTAAATGATCACTGCTTGCTCCTCCAAACCACAGGGTCTTTTCTCGGCTACTACAAAATAGCACAATAACAATAAAAACAGAAAGATAAGACAAGATAAAAGAATGTAATATAAAATTACAAGGGACAAAATAGAAATAAGGAATAATCAAGAGAAGTAAAACAGAACTCAAGGACCAACAGATTAAAAGGATAAGAGAAAGAAATGAGCTTTAAAATTATATAAAAAATTTAATCAACAATTTATAAGTCCAGGAGCTGAGGTTATAAAAACAAAGAAGGTTTATAATGGTCAGATGGGACAGGGCAATCAGGGAGCTAAGCAACCAGCTGCACACAGGAGTCTTCTCTTCTCACATAGGATCAAACCTATGACTCAAACCTAAGACTCAAACCCTTTTGAGTCTGACTTAGCCAACTCCAACACCCCTTCCGGACTGGATCTCATTGCTCAAACAGTGCTGGACCTTTGTTTCTGATTTTTGCTGATGCCCATACCATGATAGTCACCCCCTCTTTCTGCCAGGGTTTTCCGAAGCAAATCTGATTGGGAACTAGCATACTATAGGTCTACAATGCCAAGTTCTGAATTCTGAAACAACAAAAGCCCTGAAGACCAAACAAGTCATCTTTTATTTGGAGGCATGACCCAATCTGGCCTGAACTCATTTGGTGGAAAAACCTGACCTGAAGGGAAGCTATTTCTAGGATGAGCATTCATACATTTCCTTGCAGAAACACGCATGCATCTGGTTACAGGGGCCTTCTGCACACCCAGCCTACGGAGTTGTGTAATAACAGCACGTGCGCGTCACATCTCTGTTTACCATCTTTCTAAAATCCTGAAACACGTCTGGCCCCAAGATTTCAGATAAGAGTTTGTAGACCTGATGAAGATTCTCCACTAGGTATAAGAATGGCTATATATGTAAGTATCTATTTACGTCATGGAATATTATACAGCAATGACAATGACTTATCTACACTATATGCAGCATCATGTTGACAGAAAGAAGCCTGACACAAAAGCATATGTGTTGGAAGGCTCATGACCACATTATTTCTGTGTGTTCATCTCTTAAATTCTATTTATAGGAAGTTCAAATACAAGAAAGCTGCTCAGGTAGGATTCTCTCCTCAAATATAGGCCAGTACTCTGGTTACCTCTTCCGCCTTGGAGCCTCGGCTGAGCCCCGTGGAGAATGTACTGCTGAGCACCCCCGTGCTCACGGCCCTGTCACCAGCACAGGACCAGTTTGCTGTGCTCCCTCCCTTCCTGCCTTCCTCTCTCAGCCTTTGTCTCCAGCCCCTCTTTGCTTTCCCTGGGTGGAGTACTCATGGGATGGTGGCAATCTTGTCTTTTCATGCCTTTGTCCCAACTCCATTTGGGGTCCCTCTCCACCCTCTTCCCTGGCCATTCACATCAGTGTTTTATCTTCCTTCATTCCCTCTCCTCCTTGGCTAACAGGGCTGCTGATCCCCACGCAGTCTGCTCTCTTCCTGTCCTTGTGTCTCCACCGTCTGATCCTTGGGATCAGCTGGCTTTGGGCTTTTGTTTGGGCCGTAGGGCTTTCTCTCTGACTCTGCCTCCCTGTCCCACCACCCTCCCTTCCTTCCCCCTCATCTCGATGTCTTTTGTGGGACATGCACTTTTATCTCCCTTTGATTTGCTCTCTCCTCTTTGTAGAAGAAGAATAAAAGGCTCAGCTAATTGTAGCAGGAGGGCAGTGACGCCCCATTCCCCTTCCCGGCATCTTCCCCACCAGGCCGAACAGGAAGGGAAATGAGGGCAATTCAGACTCCCACCTGCTCCGGAGTCGGCTCCGGGTCTCTCTCCCCGGTGGGCTCCTCTTCCCCAGTTTTCTCAAGGGGAGATGACCCAGTGCTGGAGCCCCTCGCACTACCTCCACCAAGTCTCCCTAGACCCACCTCTCATCCATTTATGTCGTCGCTGAACGCTGGTGTGTGCCAGCCATCATGGAAGGTGCTCGGTGCAGGGTGGTGAACGAGGCAGCTGTGCAGTCTCTGAGCTCACAAATCATAGCAATAAAGTGAGTCAGGGGTGCGATAGGGAACTTGCTTTAATGTCTCTACCGGGGACCTGAACTCAGAATGGCGGCAGGGACCATCACTGAGGAAGTGATGTCTAAATGACTTGCAGGAGTTAGTCAGCCGGGAGTGAGAAGATAAACAGGTCCTAAACAGACAAAATATTTAGTCTAATGACACGACAACATGAAGTGAAATTCATTGTATGAATTTATGGCACATAAGCTGCTGGAGACCGATGATAGAGTCTTGCAAGGAGCTTGGAATTTATCCTAAGGATACAGGGAAGTCATGAAAGTGTTTTGAATGGAGATGTCACAGATCATATTTGTGTTTGGGGTGGGGTGGAGAATAGAGCAAGATTAGAGGAAGGGTTAAGAGGTGTATTCATTTTCTATTGCTGCCATAACAAATGATCACACGTTTAATGGCCTAAACAACACAATTATATTATCTTCTAGTTCTGGAGGCCAGAAGACCAAAGTCAGACTAAAACTAAAATGCTGGCCACACTTGTACCTTCTGGAGGTTGGAGTGGAAAAACCATTTCCTTGTCTTTTCCAGCTTCCAGAAGCCACCTGCATTCTTGGAGTCATAGCCCCTTCCACCTTCAAAGGGCACCTTGCAAATCTCTGCTTCCATTGGCACATTCCCTCCCATATCTGGCCCTTCTCTTATAAGGAGCCCTGTGATTATATCAGGCCAATTTGAATAATCCAGGATAACCTTCCCATCTCAAGAGCCTTAATTTAATCACACGTGCAAAGTCCCTTATACCATGTAAGGTGGAATAGTCACAGGGTCTGAGGATTGGGATGTGGACATCTTTGCGGGATATTGTTCTGTCTAGCACCTAGGCTATTATGGTACTCGGGGAAGGACACAGTGATAGCTTAAGCTGGATACTAGCAGCGGAAACAGAGCCAAGGGAAACTTTAGGAAGTACACTAAATGTCGACTGACTGGATGCAGGAGATGAGGAAGGTGAGATAAGCAGGAATTGCTTCTAGCTCTCAGGCTCCAGCAACTAACCAAATGGCAATATCATTTACGGACAGAGAACACAAAAGAAAACTGTGTTCACTACAGGAAGTACGGTACAGGAGGAGAGGAGTTTGAGCTACCTCTCAGGCATCTAAGAAGAAATTCCCTGAGTGAGGGCAGGTGAGCTTTTATCTGGAGCCCAGGAGAAGGGTCTGCAAGGACCATAGAAGTTAGAAAAGGGATCAGCAAATTATGAACGACAGACTGGCAGCCAGTTGTACAAATAAAGTATTATTGGAACACAGTCAGGCCCATTCATTCATGCACTGTTCATGGGTGCTTTTGCACTACAGCAACCAACTTGGATATTTGCAATAGAGAAGGTTTGGTCTAGTAAGCCCTTTGGCCCTATCATAAGGCATATGCCAATCCCTGGGTTGGAGAATCAGCAGCCCAAAGGTGGTACATAGAAAGCGTAGGGTGGCCCAGAGCAAACATGTGGAAGGAGAAGAACAGAGGCCCAAGAAAGCCAGGATTCAAGAAACAGGAGTAATGCAGAGAGCCATAGATGGACATCGAGAGTGAGTGGCTAGAGACATAGGGAGACAACCAGGAGAGCTGTGTTGTTCTTCTTGCTATAGAAGACAAGTGTGGCAGCTTTAAAATATGTCCACAGGTTATTTGCTTCTGTGGGGGGTCAGAATATGCCACCCCAAAACAAGCCACTTTGGCATAAGGGTTATTTTGAGTTGAAGACAACTGAAAAACAGCAAACATCAGAAGGAAAAAAGGAAGGAAGGAAGGAAGGAAGGAAGGAAGGAAGGAAGGAAGGAAGGAAAGAAGGAAAGAAGGAAAGAAGGAAAGAAGGAAAAGAAAGGACTCTGCCCTCCCCCACTATTTACCTAGAAGCAGGCTTAGGCTCTTAATAACCAGAGACTCTTATCAGCCCAGAGACAGCCCAGAGAGGAATCTGCATGACAAAACTCACTGAAATAACCCTTATCTTCCCTTAGCTTTCCCCATATATTTTCCTTCTCACAGTTTGCCACTCTTCGAAGCCTAAAACCCTTTCCTTTGGCTTGCCATTTCTCTACAAAGTACTGGGTTTTGTTAAGATGCTAGAAGCCTAAATTGTAACCAGTCCTTTGAATGATTCATCACTTTTCACTGTTTCTCCCTCATTTATGAGCTCTATGTGGGTAAATAAACTGTTTTTCTCCTGTTAATCTGCCTTTTGTCAGTCTAATTTGCAGGGCCCCAGGAAATGAACCTAAGAGGGGAGAGGGGAAAGTTGTCTTTTTATTTTTTTATTTTTTTATTTTTTTTTACGTCCTCTCCAATATTTCTCCCTTTAAAAGGTAGAGTCTAAGGATGCTTCAGTGGCTCAGGGGGTTGGGTGTCCAACTCTTGATTCCGGCTTTGGTTATGACCTCAGGGTCTTGGTATGGGGCCCTGCATCAAGATTCTCAGCTCAGCAGGGAATCTGCTTGAGATTCTCTCCCTCTGCTCCTCTCCTTCTGTTTGTGCTCTCTCTTTCTCTAAAATAAATAATCTTTAAAAAAAATAAAAGATGAAGTCTAATTCTCCTACCTTTGATGGTGGGATAGACTTAACGACTCACTTATCAGAAATAGATTAAAAATTTTTTTAAGATTTTATTTATTTATTCATAGAGATGCAGAGAGAGAGAGAGAGAGAGAGAGAGAGAGAGAGAGGCAGAGGGAGAAGCAGGCTCCATGCAGGGAGCCTGACGTGGGACTCGATCCCGGGACTCCAGGATCACACCCCGGGCTGCAGGCGGCGCTAAACCGCTGTGCCACCGGGGCTGCCCCAGAAATAGATTCAAACAAAAATTGGCAATGTGTGAATTTGGAGACTAGGTCATCAAAGGACTACACATTCTTCCCCTTTCTTTCCAGAGGAAGTTATGCCATTTGTGAGGACACACAAGCTGCCTATGGAGACATCCACATGAGGAGTGGCTGAGGCTTCCAGCTGAGAACCAGAGAGGAACTGGGGCTACCTGCCAAAAGCCATGTGAACGAGCCATCCTGGTAAATGCCCAGCACTATGCAAGCCTTCAGATGACAAGAGCCTCAGCCAACATCCCAACTCTAACTACGCGAAAGACTCTGAACAAAACCACCCAGCTGAGATGCTTTTGGAATTCTTGACCTGCAGAAACCTTGAAATAAATATTTGTTTTAGGTGACTAAAATTTTGGTGTAATTTGTTACGCAATGGATAACTAATACAACAAGGAAATAAATGTTTTAAGGAAAGCATAATCCATGTCAATGCAGCTCAGAAGTCCCGCAGAATTTAGCAGGCGGTGCCCATAGTTACCTTCTAGAGTGTGCTGAGTCCTATGGGATTGTAGGAGTCCCTTGGCCAGGAGGAGTACAGCTGTGTGAAGCTGGCAGTCATTTGTCTTTTTCACTTATGTAATGCTGGAGGGGAAGAAAAGAAAGGAGCATCTGGGAGCTGCTCTGGCATCAGTTCTCCCTTATAAGATAGTTTTGGCCCATCCCAATGTGAATTTGGAAAAGTCTTATTTTTTTTAAGAAGGCACCAATCACAAGTCCTCCCTGGGCCTTTGGCCAGGAGGCTTATGAGTAAAATCAAATACATAAATGTTCTCTGCTACCTCTCTGAATTCATCTGGGTGAAGCTGACAACTGTTGATGACCTTATTATTTTCTGTAAATGATCCAAAGTGACTTATGTGTTTCAGTCAGTTATCACCTGACCATGCAACTATTGAAGAGGACAGTGTCCCGGGAATCTTCCTTCAGTTTCTACTTCTTACCTAAAATTTGTCTCTCAGAAACATCAGAGAACTGTGCGCCAAATTGACCAATCCTTTCTCAATTGCATACTTTTTGACATAGATCAGCTAGTTTGGTGAGAGAATGAAGCCCTAATGCTCCAGGCATCGCATGTGTACCATGAATTGACTTTTCTGTGCGTTTAAATGTAAATGGTACTAGCTCTGTAGCACTTGGGGGGAGCATTGAGAAAATATTCACTCAAATAATTTTCAGTGTTCTGTCGTTTGGATGGGGAACCCTGGTTGAGAAAGACACTCACATATGTGTGTTGGATTTTGGGGTTTCTTCAGCTTGAGGAATTCTGGCCAACTGAATGTGAGGTTGCTAAGCTTTTGAATTTGTTGCTCCATATTTAAACACATTTACTATGGCTCCTTACTTCCTTGGTTCTTACATTTTATTTAATCTTATTATTTTAGCTTTTAAAAGTCACTTGGCCCTTTTAATCATTCGATCTTCAATTTGAACTGATGTGGCACAGTTTAATCGTTCTTTTAAAAAACTATTATTTATTTATTTATTTATTTATTTATTTATTTATTTATTTATTTGAGAGAAACCAAGAGCAAGAGAGATCACAGACGGAGAGGGAGAAGCAAACTCACTGTTGAGCAGAGAGCAAAGAGCCAGATGCAGGGCTTGATCCCAGGGCTCCGAGATCACAACCTGAGCCTAAGGCAGATGCTTAGCAGACTGAGCCACCCAGGCACCCCCAGTTTAATTGTTCTTAATGTGTTTTGCCTTTTCTTAGTATTTTATACATTTTCTTTTATTTCATTTCTTAAAAAAAGATTTTATTTATTTATCCATGATTGACACAGAGAGAGAGAGAGAGAGAGAGAGAGGCAGAGACAGAAGGAGGGAGAAGCAGGCTCCATGCAGGGAGCCTGACGTGGGACTCGATCCCAGGACCCCAGGATCACACCCTGGGCTGAAGGCAGCACTAAACCACTGAGCCACCCAGGGATCCCCTCTTTAATTTCATTTAAAGTGCTTGTTCTCAATGATATTTTTTGTTTCTCTTTATCACTTTTAACTTTACGGTTGCCCTTTTTTAGATCTTGGGTTTATTACAGTTTCAATTTTCCATTTATTTTTATTTTTTTCTTTATATTGTGTTTTAAAAAATAACTTCTTTTCTGTTAGTTTATTAACTGGGATTCATAAACACAGTTTCTGGGGTGAGCTCCACTATATGTGACCCATGTCAGAAGTTAAGGAGGCTTCCCTCTCCTTCAGCTTTCCAGGTCCCGTTAAGGATACCATGTGGGGATGTCCCTTCCTGGTTCCAAAAAGTTTAACCTGATTAACATAGGAAACCCACCATCAGGAGTTCCGCCCAGACCAAGTGTGATGGCCTCTGAGAGTCCCATCCCCCAGAGTACAGGACCATATAATCTGTTCTCTGTGCTTGAGTGTGGTGGGATCCTGCATCAGATGGATTTCACTCCCAAGATTAGGTTATGTTATCTGACAATGTGAGGGATTCTGCAGATATATTTAAGGTTCCAGATTAGTTGACTCTGAGTTCCTTGAAATGGAGATTATTCTGGATGGGGCCAACCTAATTAAGTGAGCCCTTAAAAGAGACAGGGTCTGCCCTGAAGTCAGAGATGGGATGTGTGACAGATTCTGCTGCTGGCCTTGGAGAGGTAGGTGCTGTGTTTGTTTGCTGATTGTGGCTCTGTTTTCTTTTTTCCCCTTTTTTAATGATACCTGACATTTATTGGACTTTTAGAGTGTGCCACCATTAACCTAAATATTTTTTATTGGCATATATAGGAGTATAGTTGGCACACAGTATTACATTAGTTTCAGGTGTACAACATGCTGATTCCACGACTCTATACCTCTTGCTGTGCTCACCACAAGTGCAGCTACCATCTGTTACCACACAATGTAGGACGGTCCCATCAACTAGATCCCCCGTGCCGTGCCTTTCATCCCTTGTGGACTTAAAAATGCCATAAACCGAAGCCTGTACCTCCTACTCCCCTTCCTCTAATTTTTTTTTTTAGATTTTATTTATTTATTTATTCATAAGAGACACAGAGAGAGAGGAAGAGGCATAGGCAGAGGGAGAAGCAGGCTCCATGTGGGGAGCCCGATGTGGCACTCGATCCCAGGACCCCAGGATCACGACCTGAGCCAAAGGCAGACGCTCAACTGCTGATCTACCCAGGGGTCCCTCCCCTTCCTCTAATTTATCCTTCCTTCCCCCACCCTCTCCCCTCTGGCAATCACCAGTTTGCAGCTCTGTGTTCCTGGGTTAGGCTACTAGGTTTAAATGGCCTGTGAAGGCTATAAGGCCAAGGGCCTTAGATCTACTTGCTGACAGGAGCCCCCAGCTAACAGCTAGCAAGGACAATGACGACTCCAGGCATACAAATGCAAGGAAATGAACTCTGCCAACAACCTGAGTGAGCTTGCAAATGGACCTTTCTGTAGATGAGCCTCCAGATGAAAACAAACCAGCTGACACTTCGGTTTCTGCCCTGTGACACCAGGAGCAGAGGGCCATCTAAAACATGCCGGACTCCTGACCCAGGGAAACTGTGGGCTAACAACTGTGTGTTATTTTAAGCCACTAAACTTGTTCTGCATCAATAAAACCTAAGGTGTCATGTGAAGTCATATTGATAATTTTTTTGAACTGCTGAAATGGGGCAATTCACATCATAATGTCAAGCTTCTTTCCTACGATCTCCATCCTCCTCTAAACACTTTGGACATTGAGCAAATCCTTTACGCACATCACCACGCATCAGGAAGGGAAGCTAGGCAAGAAGTTCCATTTGGGGAAGGATATTTATTTTTTCAATTTTTAATTTTATTTATTTGAGAGGGAGAGAGCACAAATAAGGAGGGGGCAGAGGAAAGGAGAGAGGGAGAGGGAAAAGCAGACTCGCCGCTGAGCAGTGAGCTCGACATGGGGCTAGATCCCAGGATCACCAGATGACAACGTGAGCCAAAGGCAGACGCTTAACCCACTGAGCCACCATGGAGCCCCTGGGGATGAATCACCCTAAAATTTACCTAAATTTAGGGTGATTTACCTAAATTTACCTAAAATCAACATAAAAATGGTTAAAGGTAACAACAACAAAAAAAAAACCCAACAAGACCCCTTGGAAGGAAGTAAGGTAGAAGAAACCAACCTTAGTGTCACAATTATAGTTCCCAAAGCAAAACAATATTGCCCATTCCATGTGATCGTATAAAGTGACTTTGAGGGCAGCCCCGGTGACGCAGCGGTTTAGCCCCGCCTGCAGCCCCGGTGTGATCCTGGAGACCTGGGATCGAGTCCCACATCGGGCTCCCTGCATGGAGCCTGCTTCTCCCTCTGCCTGTGTCTCTGCCTCTCTCTGTCTCTGAATAAATAAATAAGTAAATAAATCTTAAAAAAAAAAATAAAGTGACTTTGACACTCCTCCTGTTAAGAAGTAATTTCTATGTCCTCTTCCTTTGACACCGAGCAGATTTAGGACAGAAGTAACACTGTGACTTCTTCTCTTTTTAATCTAAAGATTTTATTTATCTATTCATTAGAGACACAGAGAGAGGCAGAGATACAGGCAGGGGGAGAAGCAGGCTCCCTGCTGGGTGCCCCATGCGGGACTCGATCCCTGGACCTGGGACCACAAGCTAAAGGCAGATGCTCAACCACTGAGCTACCCAGGTGCCCCAACACTTTGACTTCTAAGCTAAATCACCAGGACATTCATCCTAGAAGTTTTCAGCCACCTTGGAAGAAGTCTGATTACCCTGAGGACACAATCCTTGGAGCTAAATGAAATCAGCCAGGCAGCAGACCACAAGGAAAGGCCCTGTGACAATATGAAGAGTAAAACATCTCACCAGCCCCCAACCTCTTCAGATCCCGCACTGTTCCAGCTCCAGCTGGTTGACTACAATCATATAAGAGATCCCAAACCACAACCGCGCAACCAATCCCTTGCAAATTCCTGCCCCACGGAAACAGTGAGAGATAGTGAAACTATTGCTGATGTCTTAAGTCGTTAAATTTTAGGGTGATTCATTATGCAGCAACAGATAACCTCATTTGAGCTTGAAATTCTTCCTTAGGTCAGCCTACCTCTTGCCTTGTTCTTAGTCTTGACTGGTCTCCTTTCTACTCTTACCTACTTTGCCCCCATAATCTTCATGAGCAGGATTATGAAAGGTGTATCAATTGCCTCCAACCCTTTCTTTTGTTTTGAGAGCAAGGAGAATTTGCCTAAAATTGGAATCATCCTCAGTGGCTCTTCCAGTCCTGAGTCATCTATGTTTTTGCTGGGTTAACTGAGAGACAGATGAAAGTTATGCTAGCTGTGA